ATCTAATCTTTTGTGCTTTCCATGGACCAGCACCTATAAAAACTTTTTTAGCTACCTGCAAACTAGCATCAATTCTTCCACATCCTTTATCATCCAATAATACAAGATATTCATAAATGGCTCTCTTTTGATTATATTCAATTACATTCATTTCCTTATGCTTTTTCTCTAATTAAGGCTCCGAACAGATCAGATCAAAATCAGATCAGTTCAGATCAGATCAAAATCAGATCAGATCAGATCAGTTCAGATCTTATTAAATTGCAATCTGTTTTAAACCAGATCAGATCAGATCAAAACCAGACCAGATCAGATCAGATCAGATCCTGTTAAATTTGCAATCTGTTTAAACCAGATCAGAACCAGATCAGATTAGATCAGATTAGATCCTATTAAAATGCAATCTGTTTTGAACCAGATCAGATCAGATCAAAACCAGACCAGATCAGATCAAAACCAGATCAGATCAGATCAAAACTCAGATCAAAACTAGACCAGATTGATTTATAGATAATTAATATAAAATTTTATTTATTCAAAATTTTTTTTACATATATTCATAATTGATTCTTTAATACCCCCTTCCACCAATATCTAAGACACATACAAGCTCTAATTGTGCTTGCAGATAAACTACACCTGGTTGCTGTCACTAGATCAGTTCCTCCTGAAAAAATTCTCTCAACTGGCATGCTTGTTGCTGGGATGGCAAGATAATCTCTTGCCATCAATGCCAAATGTGGATACTCTGACTCATGATTCTGGAGAATAACAAATAACAAAACATGTGAATTTAAGCATAGTGGAAATTTGAAATGTTACACTAATTTTTTATATTGTGCAACGTAGCTTTACAATACACGGCAAACATTCTGGCAATAAAAAGTAAGTGATAAACTGGATTTGAATTTGATCCGAACTTGATCTCCAATTTAGAGAGGTAACAACTATACACTGGCGAAGTTTCAGAAGCAATGAGTTCTGTACAACATTTCGTGTAACAAAAAACTTCCACTATGCTGTGAATTTAATTATCTATATTTATATACAATAATTTAAATAAAAATTTACTTACTTTCCACCAAGTCAATACATCAGTTTTTGGTGGTGCATTTGGTGATTTAAGATATGCATCCAATTCATCATCATCTCTGACAATTTGTTGACGTTTGTAAATATGAGAAGTAAGATCATCATCTTCTTCAATATCATTATTTTCAGAATTGCTAAATACAGTCAAATTTGGTGCATATCCAGATTGGTATATATCTTTGATAACTTGATGTGCATTGTTTATAAAATTTGCTTCCCAATTGTTATCTCTATAATAATCTAACTTGAGCCTTGGATCAAGGACTAATAAAAATATCAATTTAGTATAAATTATTGTAGTTTATATTGAACTAAAACCATTATGCTTACTTGTAGCAATATAATAAAACTTAAGTTTTTCAATCACTTCTTTAACTTTTCCTTTAATATCACTTGTACCATTTAAATTGTGTTCATAATCTTCAAGATTATCAATTAGCCAATTAAATATAGGAACTGTTGAAGTAAGAGTTGGATAATGATTTGTAGAAATATGTTTAGTTGCACGTGAAAAAAGCTAAATAGCAAAACATATATTAAATTAATAATAAGTTAATATAAAAAAAAATTGATGTAATAGTATTGCATCAAAAAAATAATAATTAACTTACATGTAATAATTGAGAAATTTCAACAAGCTTTGACCATTCTTCTTCATTTAACACCCATTTAATCATGTCTCTATCTGCTCTTCCCACACTTTCTACAGCTTATAAACAATAGAAAACATGTTTATATCATTACTCATTTAATAAATTAAAATTAATCATATAAATTGCATTTAAATGCTTATCTCTTTATATTCAATAGCACACATAATCATTTCATACGTAGAATTCCAACGTGTGACTATGTCTAAAATCAATTCTTTATATTTTAAATTGGCTAATTCACAAGCCTTTGAAAACCTTTCCCGTCGTTGCGGAGATGATTTAATTTTTACAATTAATTTACGTAGCTAGAGAATTTAAAAAATCATTACGTTAAATATAATAAGTACACCAAGTGCACAATTTACTGAAATAAAAATGGTTTTAAGATTTACCTTCATTATAGTATGGAAACCATTCACGTCATTATCATCAATATTTAAAACTTCATCCTCGTTATTAGCAGCTGTTGCTTTTAGTGATTTAAGTGCATGTTGAACAGCAATATTCATGAAATGAGCAAGACAACGCACATGGTTATTATCAATATCAAAATTAATACCCTCATTATAACAAATATCAGCTAAAGAACTAACAAATGTATTGTTATTCATAGCGTTGTCTGTTGTAACAGCTAAGAGCTATATTTGGAAATAATATATTAATCAATTAAATTTAATTGAATTAAATATGCTTATTTTTAAAATAATTACCTTTGCAAATATTCCAAGGTCTCTACATGAAGCCACAAATGCTTCTCGCAAGTTATCCCCAGAATGGGGACCAGATAGCTTTACAAAATCTATCAATGTTTCTTGGAGTTGCCAATCAATATTTATCCAATGACTTGTTATTCCTAGAAAAGGAATTGTATTTGCAGAAGTCCAGCAATCTAATGTGAAGGAGATATGCCCTGGGATATTCTAACAATAATGACAATATAATAAAAATTAAAATTTTAATATAAATATAAAAATTGATATAAACACAGTATATATTATATGTTTATATACTTGTAATAATTCTTTCAGATTAGAACGTTCTTTATCAAATGATTTAATAATTTCATTCTTTATAGTATCTGCTGATGGTAAAGGAACTCCAGGCTGCAACAACCGCAACAGATTTTTTAATTCTTCATTTTCTATTTCAATGAATGGTTGATTACTACATACAATCCAACATATAAGAAAATTTCGAAAGCTTTCAGCTGAAAAAGGCTGATAAAAAGAAATTAAAAATAAGCAATTATAAAATTAATTTAACAAATTATTATTCAGAATTCTATACTAACTGGTAATTTTTTTGATTGCACAAAATGATTCAGAGTACCAGTTACTGTAATGTTTTTTTCATTGGTATTAAGCTTAGTTGGATGTTGACTTCTCAAATGTTTATAAAGATTACCAGTGCTAGAATTACTACGACTTGAAACAGTGTATGAACCTCTGAAAAATATATTATTTCAAATAAATAAGAATATGTTTTTTGAAAACTGCAAGTTCATTAAAATATTTACCCAATGCAGTGTTTACACTTTGCTTTATCATTAGCAAAAGTAAAGTGCTCCCAAACTTCACTTCTTCTTTTTTTTCTATTATTATTATCATCAACAGTTACTGTTGTTACATCTTCTGGTAGATCCAAATCATTATTAATAATAACGTTTGCCATTATAGTTCATAAAGTAATTGATTCATAAATTCATATAAAAAAATTCTTAATTCATAAAATTCTTTAATTTGTAAAAATTGTAAAAATTAATTTTTTTTCAAATATTTTTATAAATTTTTATTATTATTTATATCGTAAAGTCTGGAAAGATAGTGCTCCATGGCAAACCATAAAATTTACTAAAAAGGCAATGTCACAGAAGTGCTACTTTACGGTAATATCTTGGATCAGATTTCGGATTTCAGATCAGATCAGATCAGATTTCAGATCAGATCAGATTCAATATTTAAAGAACCAGATCAGATCAGATCAGATCCAGTATTTGAGGAACCAGATCAGATCAGATCAGATCCAGTATTTTAAAGAACCAGATCAGATCAGATCAGATCCATTATTTTAAAAAACCAGATTGGATCAGATCAGCTTAAACAGATTTCAGATCAGATCAGATTTCCACCAAATCCGATCTGATCTGATCTGTTCGGAGCCTTATCTCTAATTGATAATTTACTACACCATGCTCAATTGTACCAAAAAAATTCATGATTGTAATCATCCATAATGATGTTATCATCTTGGCATGCCTTTTTTGATTCATACTTACCTTCTGCATTTCTTACTTGATTTTTACTTTTTCTTTTTCCTTTTGAAGATAAAGGCATTTTATCTTGTTTGGTTGATTGAACTTTTATAACAATTAATAATGATTTAATTAATATTGATGTAAATATCTTAATATTCAATTCAAAAGTTATGTGTAAAATATCTTAATATTCAATTCAAAAGTTACGTGTAAAATATTTTAATATTCAATTTCAAAAGTTACGTGTTATTTCTCGTGTGACATAAATTGATTGTTATTAGGAGGAATTTTATTGGACAGAATTTGAATGATCAGTGTCCGAAATTTGAAATATACTAGTAAACTTGTGTGTTTTTAAACCTTAATAACTTTGTACATAATTGAGAAATCAAAAAAGTAAACCGTAATTTTGAAAGAGGAAATTCTAATCTATCATTTTTACGGTTTCTTTTTTTTGTAGCATAAAAATTGAGGGACTAGATACATTTTAAAGTCACCCATAAATTCTTGATGACT